CTTTCATTTAGGCACATTGATGCCTATTGCGAATATAACATTTTACACGCTTCATTGATTCCATTTTAATTCTTGTAATATGATATGTGTATCATTATTCCATATTCCCATTTTTGTTAGTTTCTTTTACCTATAGATAATGCACCACATTAAAGTATACGGTTGGAGATACTGCTCCATGGTCTGGAGATAACCAGTACAACGGGAGCTAGACTTCGGGCTAGGCACGGGTGCTCGTGTGCTCCCTGCGTTCGTTGTTCCTTAGTCGTTTTCCTAGTGCACACACTGCTTGCTAGTTCACGAGACAAATTGGCAAGAGTTTCACTAAGAAAGGTTGACAACAATGATACAATGAAGTTGGCAAGGTAGGACTACATCAGAGCTAGGATGCAAGCAGGTCGACTGCCAGTGCAGCACGGTCGACCGCGTGCCAGCGCGACTTGGTCGACCGCGCTCCAGCAGTGCAGAGTCGCGGCTTGCCAACGCTGCAGGTCGACGGCGTGACAACAGCGCAAGTCGACGGCGTGCCAGCGTTGCTCCCGCAGTACAGCATTGCACCCGCTTCGCAGGTGCTCGCAGATGATTGGCGTGCAGTGCCTCGTCACCTGCACAACGCACACACCAAGTCAACTTCGTGCTGACGACTGCTTCTGATCAGCCACGTCGACCTTGGGATACCACCACCGAGGTCGTTTTTGCCAACATCGCCTGGGCGACCTTCGCGTGCCTTCGCAGATCCTCGTCACCCAGGTAACCTGGTCGACCGGGCAACCACGTCGACCAGCTGCTCCTGTGCGTGCCCGTCGACCTCCCAAGTCGACGGCCACCTCCAGTCGACCTCACCAGGTCGACCACTGCCTCTGGTCGACCAGCTCCAAGTCGACGTCACTCCTGGTCGACCAGCTCCTCGTCGACCAGCACAGTTGTCAGCCGACCCCAAAGTCGGCTACCCGAAGTCGGCGTCACCAAGTTGACGCCCTGCCACTTGACGCCCAACAGCTCGGCGTCCTGAACCTCTCTGTCGAGGTCGACGTCGCCCCCTCCTACGTCGACCATCGTGTTCGGGATACGACCATCAGGTCGACATCACGCCTGGTCGACCAACCACCAAGTCGACCAGCAGGCCTGGTCGACCAACCAAGTCGACCAGAAGGCCTGGTCGACCAACCAGGTCGACCAGCAGGTCTGTCAGCCGTCCACCCAAGTCGGCTGCCCCGAGTTGGCTTCACCAGGTTGACACCCTCTGCAGGTCGACCTCCCAGGTGGACCACCCGAAGTTAGCGCCCTCTCGAAGTCGGCGCCCATGCAGTGGCTCCCCGTGCAGGTCGACCAACCTCGTCGACCAGCTCGCCCACTACTGCAGGTCGGCTGCACCCCTACACCCGACCACGAAGTCGGCTCTGCCCAAGCGAGGACGGGGCCAACACACAACTCCCGTTGACACTCCCCTGCCGCGTTCACGCTTGGGCCCCCAACCCACACGGCAGTAATTGTCGGAGACAAGCTCGTCGACGTGCACCCAACATACAGCACGTCGTCCACCGCACCAGCCATGCAAGAGGGCATGGCACCTACTACTGCACGTCGTCGTCGTTGTCGCCCACGCCGGCCAGACTCACTTGGCTGATTGCAACGGAGCACTGGTTGAAGGCCGAATAGTGTAGCGCATTCGTCAGTAAGTCGGCCGGCTGCTCAGCGGTCGGGATGTACTGCAACGCAAACTTCCCCCGCTTCACCATGTGCTGCAGCCAGGCCTGTCGCCGCTCCATATGCTTGAGGTTGCCCGTCAACCCCATGCCCTCGGCAACTGTGATGGCCGACTTGTTGTCCACCTCAGGACCGTCGGCCTTCCAGCGTCCAGCTGCTGGAACTCTGCCAGGAGGAAGCGAAGTCGGCGTCCCTCCTTGCCGGCTTCGACGGCCGCCACGTACTCCGACTCGGTCGACGACAGCGTCGCGCACTTGATGTGCTGGCTCGACCAGAAGACCGGTGGCCCCTCCGTAGACGAACACGTAGCCACCCGTGCTCGTCCGGCTCTGCTTGTCGCCGGCGTCGTCGGCGTCCACGTAGCCGACCAGCTTCAGCGACTCAGGTCCACCGCCGAACTCCAGGGCGGTGTCGCGCGTGTTGGCGAGGTAGGCAAGGCAGCGGTCGACCTCGCGCCAGTGCTGGTCGCTCCTCACCGTGAGGTCGCCCACTACTGCAGGTCGGCTGCACCCCTACACCCGACCACGAAGTCGGCTCTGCCCAAGCGAGGACGGGGCCAACACACAACTCCCGTTGACACTCCCCTGCCGCGTTCACGCTTGGGCCCCCAACCCACACGGCAGTACTTCTCGGAGAAAAGCTCGTCGACGTGCACCCAACACACAGCACGCCGTCCACCGCACCAGCCATGCAAGAGGGCATGGCACCTACTACTGCACGTCGTCGTCGTTGTCGCCCACGCCGGCCAGACTCACTTGGCTGATTGCAACGGAGCACTGGTTGAAGGCCGAATAGTGCAGCGCATTCGTCAGTAAGTCGGCCGGCTGCTCAGCGGTCGGGATGTACTGCAACGCAAACTTCCCCCGCTTCACCATGTGCTGCAGCCAGGCCTGTCGCCGCTCCATATGCTTGAGGTTGCCCGTCAACCCCATGCCTTCGGCAACGGTGATGGCCGACTTGTTGTCCACCTCAGGACCGTCGGCCTTCCAGCGTCCAGCTGCTGGAACTCTGCCAGGAGGAAGCGAAGTCGGCGTCCCTCCTTGCCGGCTTCGACGGCCGCCACGTACTCCGACTCGGTCGACGACAGCGTCGCGCACTTGATGCGCTGGCTCGACCAGGAGACCGTGGCCCCTCCGTAGACGAACACGTAGCCGCCCGTGCTCGTCCGGCTCTGCTTGTCGCCAGCGTCGTCGGCGTCCACGTAGCCGACCAGCTTCAGCGACTCAGGTCCACCGCCGAACTCCAGGGCGGTGTCGCGCGTGTTGGCGAGGTAGGCAAGGCAGCGGTCGACCTCGCGCCAGTGCTGGTCGCTCCTCACCGTGAGGCCGCTCCCCAGCTTGCTGCAGGCGAAGGCAATGTCCGGCCTCGTCGTCGTCGCCGCGAACTGCAGCGAGCCGACCTTCTGCCGGTACTCCTTCTATTGTCAGTCCTGAGCATCCTCGTCGTCAAAGGTGCGCTCAGCGTAAGCGTCGACCGAGACAGGCGTCTTGGGGGTGCGCGCGGTCTGCTCCTGGTCGAGGAAGCGCCTACGCAGCTTGTCGGCGTAGCCCTGCTGGTGCAGCCACAGCTTCCCTGTCGCGTACGATCTCCAGCCCGAGGTACTTCTGCACCGGCGAGATCTCGCGCAGCTCGAAGGCGGCCTCCAGCAGCTCCTTCAGCTCCTTCAACATCGCGGTGCTGCTGCTGGCGGCGAGCAGGTCGTCGACGTAGACCAGCACCTAGCAGGTTACCTTGTCGTCACCGACCTTGAAGTAGAGGGCCTTGTCGACCTGGCTCTTCTTCCAGCCAGCGCCGACCAGCACGTCGTTGAGTGCCAAGTACCACAGCAGCGGCGACTGCTTCAGCCCGTAGAGGCTCTTCAGCAGCTTGCACACCCGGCCGGTCCTGCGTTGAAGTAGACCGGCTGGTACATGTACAGCACGCGGTCGAGCTTGCTCTGCAGGAAGGCGTTCTTTATGTCGAGCTGCATCAGGTTGAGGTCGAGGACGGCGACGATGCTGAGGAAGATCCTCAGCATGACGTAGCTGCTCACCGGCGCATACGTCTCGTCGTAGTCGGCGCCATACACCTGGGTGAAGCCCTTCACGACCAGCCTCGCCTTCTCGCGCTCGACGGTGTCATCGAAGTGGTACTTCGTCGTCAGCACCCACCGGTTCTTCACAACGTTGACCCCCGGTGGTCGTTCGACCAGCTCCCAGGTCCCCATGCCGATGAGGCTGCGGATCTCCTCCTCCATGGCGGCCTTCACTGCCGGGCCCTTCCAGCTCGCCAACGCCTGCTTCACGGTCATGGTCGAGATGTCCCAACGATGCTCAAGGTCGGCATGCATGTCGTGGTCGATCTCCGGCAGGTCTTCGTCCTCGTCGGCGTCGTCGTACAGCAGGTCGTCGTCCTCGTCGACCACGTCATACACCGTGGTCGAAGAAGACGGGAGGTCTCCGAAGTTGACCTGACTTCCGGGGTTCCGGCAGCACTTCCACCGCGTCACGGTCGGTGGACTTCCCGTTGCCCAACTGCTCCCCTTCATCTTCACTGACTCCGCCGTCCTCGTCGTCCTGCTGCACCTCGGTCGGCGTCCCGACCGATTGCCCTCTGCGGTCAGCTCCCCTGCTGACTGCCAGGTCGCCGACTGCTCCTTGGTCGGCCGCGCTGCTGCCTGCTCCCCTGTCGGCTTCACCCAAGTCGGCTGCACCTCCTCGACCTGTGTTAGAGATTAAGGACGGAGTCTATGAAGATTAGGTGCCGAAATATCACAAAATCGTTGACTTAGAATTCTGGACAGAAACCGCGACTTCACAAGAAACGTCGTCGACGGAAATTTCACCGTTGAAACTCCACCAACTTCAGATATGTTGTAGCTCTAGTCCTTGTCTACAATTCCCAATTTGAATCGTATCAAAAGGTGGAGTAAATCTCGAGTTATGTTTTTTGGCGCACTAGGGGGTAAGCTGCCACAAAATTTTAACTCAATCACAATAGTTTCACAAGTTCACAAGTGTTATAAAAGGATACACACAAGAGAGTTAGAGCACCAATGAACCAGGTAGGAGGGAAGAGGAGGACGAGAGGGAAGGTCCCAAGGAGTCCCCAACCAAGGAAACCCCATGCCACACAAATCCCCTCCATATGGGCACCCCACCTTTGACATTTGTCACTTTCCCAACTCATGCCATCCACCTCAACCCACTTGGCCACACTTGCCAACCTGGTTTGGCTTCACCCAACCACATGGCAGCATTCTACAGTGATGGGTTCGAATGTCCCAACCCCAAAAGTCTGTACCCCATATTGAGTCACTCCCACAACTTCCAAAGTCACCGCAACCAAAGTACAGAAAGCATACGAACTCCAATGTTCGTAACTTTCTTGATATTGCTCCGATTGCGACGATTCTTGGTTCGTCGGAAAGCTCTCGAGCAGAGCAATCACTTCAGATATCTGCTCAAGCCAAATAACATTCACACACACTCAGAAAATCCAAACCGCGCAAAAACACAAATTCTTGCACACGCTCACAATACGCATGCAATACACGAACACATGATGGGAGGCAGACAGACGTGAATGCATATGATTGCATCACAACAACCTGCTCCTCCCCTATCCAGGTCGACTGAACTCCCATGTCGACTTGCTGCTCGTCGACTTGCTGCTCATCCCGTCGGCCACTGGCGATGCCCTTGGTCGGCGCCACAGGCGACGCCCCACTGCTCCCCTCATCGCCGGAGGCCGACGCCGGAGTCAGCCCACGCAGGTCGGCGACGAGGGGAGGGGCAGGGGAAGGGGAGGAAGGGTGGACGACCTCGGCGTCCTCGTCTTCAAGCTGGCCGACCTCGGCAAGCAGGGGGAGCGGTGCCGTCGAGGTATCCGTCGGCGTGGCCACCAGCGTCCGCCCTGACACCGGCCCATGCTCCGACTTCCACACCTCGAGCGACATGGTCTCGTAGAACACCACGTCCGACGTGGTGACCACCCGGTTGTCGGCGATGTCGAGGAGCTCCCAGCCCTTGCTCTCCTCCGACACGCCGAGATGAAGGCCCCACTTGGCCTTCGGCTTCAGCTTCCCACCACGCTGCTGCTCGGGGACGAGGAACTGCGCCATGCAGCCCCACATGCGCGCCAGCGATAGGTCGGGCTTTGTCCCGGTCAGCAGCTGGTACGGCGTTGTCCCCGGCGTCGCCGACCGCTCCAGGCAGTTGCGGACCCAGACGGCTTGCCGCAGAGCGAGGTGCCACCAATGGTGCTGCACGCCCATGTGCAGCAGCATCGTCCGCACCGACTCCACAACCGGCCTCATCTCCCGCTCCGCCATGTCGTTCTGCTGCGGGGTGTAAGGGCAGGTCAGGTCGTGGACGATCCCCTTTCCGTCCACGAAGGCGGTGAACGCCTTGCCGAGGAACTCCCCTCCTCGGTCAGAGCGCAGCTGCAACACCGACCTCTTCGTCTGCCGCTCCACCAGCACCAGCCACTTCTGAAACTCCAGCACCGCATCCGACTTCTTGGCAACCGGCCTCACCCACATATAGCGGGACTTACGGTCCTTCAGCAGCAAGAAGTATAGGCTGCCGTCCTTGTCAACCACACGGAATGGCCCGCACAGGTCGATGTGCACGACAGCCAGCACGTCGTCGGCGTCGGAGCCCTGGTCGGGGAAGGTGTGCCGCGCCAGCTTCCCGCCGACGCACGAAACACACGGTGAGTCGGCGCCAGTCGTCGACTTGAGGTCCAGCCCAGTGGCGACCTCGTGCTTCGCCGAGCGCAGGATGGTGTCCATGCCGACGTGTGCAAGCCTCGCATGCAGCCTATCCGGCGTCGACTTTGTCGCTGAGACGATCGCCCGCAAAGCCACCACATCGTCTGCGTTCGTCGCCGTGCAGGGACGCGAGTCGGTGCAAAGGACCCGGCTGGAATACGTTGCTCGACCAAGCACGTCGCCCGTCGCCGAGACGAGCAGCATCCCGTCGCCGTCGTCCTGCAGCTTCACACCGTTCTCCTTCAGCTGTTCGGACGACAGCAAGTTTGCGTGCACGCCGGGGACGAACAGCACGTCGGGAATCAGCACCCGCTTCCCGGCCTCCCCTTGCAGCGCAACCGTGCCCCGGCCCTTGACGTCTTGCAGCGCCCCATTGAAGCCACGCACGTGCTTCAAGTCGCCGCTCGGCCCCAAGTCGAAGAAGGCGTCCTTCGTACCCATCAGGTGGTGGGAACAGCCGCTGTCGAGCAGGACCACCGCCGGATTAGCCTGCACAGCTGCCGCCACCGCCTGGAAGTCCTCGCCGGCCTCCGGCGCCAGCGAGACGGTCGGCTCCACGACGCCGACCAGAGAGCACGACGCCGACTTGTCGTCGCGCCCCTTGCCACCAGCAGAGGAGTCGGCGTCCTTCGCCGAGGTCGACGACTTGGTCGACTGCTTCTCCTTGCGTGGCTGGTTTCCTCCTCGATGAGGACGGCGACTGCCAGACCTCTCGCGGCCTCCCTTGTCATCGTCGTCTGAATCACTGCGGTCGGGGCAGTCGGAGGAGAGGTGGTCGGGGTCGCCGCACAGCCAGCACTCCCGACGTCGACTTCCTCCTCCTCGACCGCTGTCCTTGGTCGACTTCTTCTTGTCGACTTCCTTGGCCGACTTCGAGCCACTGCTACCACCGCCACCAGACTGTCCACGCTGCCCCGGTCGACCGCCTTGCTTCGCCGGGGCGACGTAGTTCACCTGCGCCAAGAGCTCTTGGGACCGCTCGGCCTCCTGCATCGCCTCGTCCTGCAGGATGTACGAGGTCAACGTGTCCTCGTTGAGTGTCGTCCACGTGCTCGGCGCCATCGACAGCCGCTTCAGCAGGTTGTAGCTGCTCGGGAGTCCCTTCATGACATGGGTGACGTACGACGCCGTCGAGTACTCCGCGCCGGCCATCCTGATTGCGGCAATAATCCGCCAAGCTTGGTTGCAGTAGTCTGTCGCTGTCTCCTGGTCACCCATACGCAGGTGCGTCAGCTGCCCTTCAAGCTGGGCGATGAACAAGTCGTCGGTGACTTGGTAAGTCGACTCGATGAAGTGCCACGCCCGGTGGCCGGCGTCGATGTGCTCCCTGCACGACTTCAGGGCGATTTGCACGCCCGGCGAGCAGCACCGCGAGATGACCGTGAAGGTCAGCAGCTGCATGGCGCGAAACTCCACATGCAAGTCGGGGTCATCCGGCGTCGCCACGGTACCACGAGAAAAGATGATCAGCCCAGCCATCTCCAGCTAGGGCTCGATGGCTTCCTTCCAGGTGAGAATGTCGGGTCGACCGACCAGCAGGGGAGTGACCAAGATCCTATCCGGCGTAAACTTGAAGTAGCCGTAGCTCGGTGCAATCCCGCCTGCTGTCACCTGGGTCGCCGACATCGGCAAAGATCCACTTCGTCGACCTCCGACGTCACCCTGCGAGGAGCCTGCAGCCGCCGACGACCGCATCCCTCGCGCCTGAACGCCGCCGACTTCATCGGCGTGAATCACACCACGCTGCCTCGACGACGTGCCTCCCGCACTGCTGCCGACTTGGCCGCCACTCGCTGTTCACCGGTCGAGGAGATGGAGGCCGAGAAGGAGGGTGCTCCGTCGGCCAGACGGAGCGGATGCCAGCCTCGATGACCGCCCAGGGGAGGTCGCCGAACTCCTTCGCCTCATGGCGTCTCCTCGCGCTCTCCAGCCGTGCCTCCAGGGTGTCCACCACCCCCGTGTCACCTACGGCGCCTACCATAGTGACTACCGCACGGCTGCGGGCCTACGAACAACTTGGGTAAGGTACAACTAAGTCGACTAGACTGAAAGGTAAGTCGCGTGTTCGATCCACGCTCACCGCACCATGCGGAGATAACCACTACAACGGGAGCTAGACAACAGGCTAGGCACGGGTGCTCGTGTGATCTCTGCGTTCGTTGTTCCTTAGTCATTTTCCTAGTGCACACACTGCTTGCTAGTTCACAGGGCAATTTGGCAAGAGTTTCACTAAGAAAGGTTGACAACAATGATACAATGAAGTTGGCAAGGTAGGACTACATCAGAGCTAGGATGCAAGCAGATCGACTGCCAGTGCAGCACGGTCGACCGCGTGCCAGCGGGACTTGGTCGACCGCGCTCCAGCAGTGCAGAGTTGCGGCTTGCCAACGCTGCAGGTCGACGGCGTGACAACAGCGCAAGTCGACGGCGTGCCAGCGTTGCTCCCGCAGTACAGCATTGCACGTGCTTCACATGTGCTCGCAGGTGATTGGCGTGCAGTGCCTCGTCACCTACACGACGCACACACCAAGTCAACCTCGTGCTGACGACTGCTTCTGATCAGCCACGTCGACCTCGGGATACCACCACCGAGGTCGTCCTTGCCAACATCGCCTGGGCGACCTTCGCGTGCCTTCGCAGATCCTCGTCACCCAGGTAACCTGGTCGACCGGGCAACCACGTTGACCAGCTGCTCCTGTGCGTGCCCGTCGACCTCCCAAGTCGACGGCCACCTCCAGTCGACCTCACCAGGTCGACCACTGCCTCTGGTCGACCAGCTCCAAGTCGACGTCACTCCTGGTTGACTAGCTCCTCGTCGACCAGCACAGTTGTCAGCCGACCCCAAAGTCGGCTACCCGAAGTCGGCGTCACCAAGTTGACGACCTGCCACTTAACGCCCAACAGCTCGGCGTCCTGAATCCCTCTGTCGAGGTCGACGTCGGCCCCTCGTACGTCGACCATCGTGTTCGGTCGACCACCAGGTCGACATCACGCCTGGTCGACCAACCACCAAGTCGACCAGCAGGCCTGGTCGACCAACCAAGTCGACCAGAAGGCCTGGTCGACCAACCAGGTCGACCAGCAGGTCTGTCAGCCGTCCACCCAAGTCGGCTGCCCCAAGTTGGCTTCACCAGGTCGACACCCTCTGCAGGTCAACTTCCCAGGTCGACCACCCGAAGTTAGCGCCCTCCCGAAGTCGGCGCCCATGCAGTGGCTCCCCGTGCAGGTCGACCAACCTCGTCGACCAGCTCGCCCACTGCTGCAGGTCGGCTGCACCCCTACACCCGACCACGAAGTCGGCTCCGCCCAAGCGAGGACGGGGCCAACACACAACTCCCGTTGACACATGGTTCGCCCGCGCCATGTGGACTTGGAGGTACAAGATGATCCAGGAGCTTGAATGGTTTTACAATCGTGAACTGGTCGTTGAGTTATAAATTCTCCCCGACCGTATCTTTTGGTCTTGCGACGTTGAACATAAGTTTGCGAAGAACACTTCGACAGTTGTCAAATGATTGTGATCTCCCGTCAATGTGTTTTGGCTCCTAGATAGCCACATTTAGACGGCTTGGATGTGAAGCTCAAGCAATTGCACCAACGTGGCAGAATCGACGCGGTTTAAAAGCTTATCTGCAATTAAGATAAACCTTGGCGCGCTGGAGGCTTGCCCCAACGTTCCAGAAATGTGGAAGTGGGACCCTTGGGGAGAGGGACTGAATCTGCTAACCTTTTTCCCTATACAGTACCGCTCTGTAACGCAAAGAAACCCCATCGAAACCTAAGCCTACAGCCTGTACAGTGCCTCTCACCCTAACACGCCAACACCATCCCTTCTGCTACTGTAGTAGCAGCTTGTTTCCATGACTAATACTGCTAGTCCACCGTGCACCATCAGCTGTTAGTTTCATAACGCCTTACGCGACCGTTACGTGGCCTTAGCGAGGCCTTCACGGGACCCTGACGGGCCCTCAGCTCGTTTTCTACTTCACGTGCCCTTTGCGGGGCTTTCACAGAGGCTTTACGGGGTGTTAAAACCTGCAGCCTGAATTACAAAAAGTGTTTTGAGGTGTTAACACTTTCCCTCCCGAACCCAGATAAACGTGACGAAGTCGCATGCAACACAGGGAAGGATCGCTCGGCCCTCTGGCAACGAGTCTGGCTGGCTGGTGCGCCTGACGTTAGGGTTTCTATAAGCGAGTATATGAGTTTTACTTAGCTCCAGCACTTTGAGGGTGTTAGCAGATTGTCTGCGAACTGTTGGGTTGCGATGTCTAATTTACTCTCATTGACCCACGAGAGTGTCGCATCAATGTTTCGCTAACCTGCCACCTTCGCATTTCTTCCGCACCTCATATTGACCAAACCCCAGACCTACCAAACCAAGCGTTGACTCAAATTTTGTAATTCAGGCTTTGGGTTTTAACGGGTCCTGCACTCGAATTCTGCAAGCTATGCACTTCGCAGGAACTTGACGGGAGTTCCGTTCGTCACTATTTGTTGAGAAGGTGTCTCATGTGACTGGTCCGCCCCGAGCTGGTCCGCTGCAAAAAAACGCATGCCTGGTCCGCAATTCTGGTCCGACGGACCTACTTCGCGGACCAGCCGTGGACCAGGCACGAGCTGGTCTACGTGAGACATCGTGCCACGGGCTGTACAATACTTGCGAATAAAAATCAGTATCTACGAAAATCAGACATGTTGAAATTGAGTTACCTCTTTTTTTTTTGCCCGTAAAAATTCCCCATCCTGTTGGAGCGACAATCACGAGCGGCCAGAATTTTCGCAAACAGCTGTGTGAGTTGCTACAGTCACGGACCAGGCACGGGCTGGTCTGGCGATCAGTTCATTGGCACCGTTGCACTGTATGCAAGTTGAAAGTTTTATCGGGGTTAATCTCGGTCCAGTCCGCCGCTGGTTCAGGCTTGGTTCTCGAGCTGGTCCGCCAGATCCGCGTCGGACCCACGTGGACCCGCACATTTGAGACACGTCCTGACCTTGCCTTCACCAAGGCTTTGCGTGAGTTTCACGGCAATCGGGCAAAAGTCTCACGAAGTGCCACAAATTTTGACCAATTGAAAACGAACAAAATGTTTGAAGCGAGAAATTTTTTTATGTGTTCAACAAACTGGTACAACAAATATATAGGTCCAACTAAGGTACACAAATGCACTAGGTAACTAAACACATTCAACAGTTACTCGGCGCCTCAATTCACCCCTCGTCGCACACGCAACCTTCTCCATCTTCGTCGAACGCGCCTGAAGTCCGCATTTGGTTCCTTGTCGAACACTCCTCATCTTGAACCACACGATTTTCCCCGTCAAACACATTCTCCCTCATTCTTCCTCCTCCTTCCATACTTCTCTTGCAGTAGCTCATACTAGCTTCCTTTCTCTTCCGTAATAACTTCTCAATACGCCATTGCCAAGCCGTCGGTCCGC